AAGGGGGAAATGCCCAAAAATCTTTCTTTTTTGTGATAACAAAAGGACATTGAATCCTGGTGTCATGGAAATGATGGACCACCAAATCTTAAGGTAGTCTACAGGCAGGAGTTGGGTCAGGATAATGTGTGGATTCTCCTGGAGCTGGTGTTCTTCGGGGTAGGACTTAACATTCATGAAACTAAAATAAACAAATAGTATGCTAAATTGGATTACACATTCAACCCAGCTGGGACTATACCATGAGTTCCAGACCAACCTGGGCCACATAGTGAGCTACTTACTGCCTGAATGAATAAACTATATTTTCCTGAGAAGATGATGGTAGTAATGGGAATGTTGGGTTACAAAGATCATAACTGAAGTAGATAAGTCTTCGCTGTATGTCTCTATGTGCTTAGAAAAATTTCAAAGCACAAAAATAAAAGATTGCTGTTCCTCTCACACACAACAGTTTGCTCCTGATAGTGATAGTCTGTACTTCCTTACCTTACAGTGGCCCACAGTATTCCTGTACTCTATGTCTATCCTTTCCATGAAGACTTTCAAAAGTAAAAACGTTGGCTATAGTGACACACACATACATCTGTGACCCCACTGCTGTGGGAGATGGATTTCTGGGTGGGACTTGCTGGTGTCCAGCCTAGTTCCAAGTTTAGTGAGTGACCCTATCTGTAGGGAATAAGACAGAAAGTGATGGGCCAGGCCACCCAAAATCCTCTTGTAACCTGTAAATGCATGTAAACTTGCACATGCACAAAACACACACACACACACACACACACACACACACACACACACACACACACACACACAGAGAGAGAGAGAGAGAGAGAGAGAGAGAGAGAGAGATTCTGAACTATATTGTACAAAATGATTCTAATTTGCCTGCAGGTGATTGGCCAATAGGGCAGCTGTCTGATGGGGGGCGGAATCTGGGTGACTATACCGTATCCTCCTGCAGAGGGGATGGACAGTCTGGGAAACCCATCTGGAGTGTCAGGTAATCCAAGTGTGAATACCATATTCTCTACAAAGTGTCCCTCTATATCCCGTCTGCACTCCTCACTTTACACTAAAGGAGGATGAAGTGAATTGTTGAGCACTAGATTTGGGGCAATTCATAAATGGAACTGCTTTAGTATATCTGTGAAGCTTCCAGACAAACTTTACAATACTCTGTAAAACATCAGTCCTTTTTCATGAAAATGTAGGAATATGGTTTGGCCGCCACCTCCTGGCCATAATAAGAATTGCATCTGGGAGTGCCCTCATGGAATCTATGGTGGGGTGGGAAGGAACATAGGCAGTGAACTGGACTTGATGGGACCTTACCTTTGGAGCTTGGGCAGTTTGTTTTAACCTCTACATATTTTCTTGGCATATAATGCACATCTTAGGTATATCTAATCTAAACCTGAGATTGGAAACAGATCCTGGTCTAAGGTTAATATAAAGCTGCACTATTAGATAGAGGTGGTGGAGCTATGTGTGCAAACATGAACACACACATGCATGCACACAGAATCAGGTTCAATTCCATTTGTTCATCTAATTCATTTGTCCCATGAAACTGAACACAGTGAATACTTTCCAGAAGTATCAAAGGTCTATATATCCTTTATCAAACTGTGTGTATGTGTGTGTAGTAGTAGCACGGATGGATGTGTAGGCTTACATGCATATAACATGGGACAGAGGACAGCCTCCAGTGTTTTACCTTGGGTGCCATCCCCCTGTAAGTTTTTCTTAGACAAGGGTTCTTAATGGCCTGGAACACACTGGGTAGGCTGGCCTGGCTGGCCAGCAAGCCCCAGGGATCTGCTTGTCTCCACCATCACAGGTAAGCATTTGCCACCACACTTGTTATTTTTCTCTACTTTAGTTTTGCTTCATTTTTGTAATTATGCATTCTGGGGCTGGATCTCGGGTCTTCATGCTTACAAGGCAAGCACTTTATGGATTAGCTATCTCCCAGCCCTATTTTTACCAACTGGAGCACCAGTATTTTCTGTTTACATTAAAATTACTTTTCCTTCCTGGATACAAAATTTCAAACACACAAAAGCACATTTATTACCATAAGTGACTCTGTCTCCATCACTGGGCTGAGTCCTACCCACAACCCAAAAGATTGTCTTCAGTGAAATGTCCCTGACAATGAGCTATCGGAATAGAGTCACAGTAATCATTGCCCTCACATCTTGCTTTATGTTGCAGTAAAAAAGTCTTCATAACCCCTCCTCTCTCCCCTTCTCATTCTCCTAGTTCCCCCCTTCCCCATGCTCCGAATTTGCTCAGCTTTCCCATTTAGTAAATGCTAATCTTTATGGCTTCTGTGACTGAAAAAGTGTGGCTGGTGTGGTGCACATGGTTGTGTCTGGCATTGGATGAAAATAGGATGGCTTCCCATCTACAGAGCTAAACTGAAACTTCTCTCACAAGTGAATGTAATGCTAATAGTCATGCTTTCTACTTTTTGGGTTTAATGCAGTGACTTTCAGTGTAGCCAAGGCTGGCCTGGGACTCCTTCCTGGGCCTTCAGACTTCAGGGCTTCAAAGCTTACCAGCCACCCCCAGCTCAAGTATTCATTTTAATGTAGACACATTCTTAATTACTATTTCCACTCTGTTTTCTTCTTGGCCCAATAACGTTTTTCTTGACTTCCCAGGCACTCAGTAATTTTCTAATTATTTTCCTTGCAAAATTTTATTTTAAAATGCCCCATGTCTCTCGAAACAACATGTACTCTAAGGTTGCTATTTTAAGAAATTTAACATTTTCTGAGATGTTTCTAGGTTTTTTTGTTTTCATTTTGAGACAGGGCCTCTCTATATTATACATGCTAGTCTGCAGGTTCTTGGCACAAGTGATCCTGTAACCCCAGTGTTTAAAGTAACTGCAAATGCCACACAACACTGATGAAACTGTTTGTATCAGTGCTTGATACATCTGTTGCACTAGAATTACTTTAATTTATAAATAATTTTTAATGAAAAGGATGTAGATACCATTTAAAATTATGTGTGTTCCTGTGTGTACATACACATGGATGCAGGTGCTTACAGAGGCCAGGAGAGGACATTGGATTGCTGGGAGCTGAGTTACAGGGCATCATGGATGTTGGTCATGGATGCTGAGAACAGAACTTAGGTCCTTGTCTGAGAACCTCATGCACTCTTAACCACCGAACCATCTCTCCAACAGGACTGTAGATTGCTAAAGGATGTTAGCCATTTTACTGTTCATATATTTAAAATTCTACTGTGTGTTCACGTTACCTAGTGATAATTATTCTTTTTGTTGTTTAGATTTTATTTCTAATCTATCTATCTATCTATCTATCTATCTATCTATCTATCTATCTATCTTTTTGTTTGTTATTATATACACGTGAACCCCTGCTGGAGCTGGCTTTTATAGGCAGTTGTTAGCTACCTGCCTGACATGGGTGCTGAGAGCCATACTCACACAACCAATAATGGCTATGATGTTTCTTTCTTCCTCCTCCTGCCTCTACTTCTGGAGTGCTGGTATTACAAATGAGGGCTACCAATCCCTCATTATCAAAGAACTCCATGCTCTTTGGAGTCTAAGCAATCACTCTACCACCTGAGCTACATCCCCAGCCCCCTAACTGTGGCTTTTTAAATAAACCAATGACTTCTTTTCACGCTAGTAGTATACCCATTAATAAACTAGCAGAGAGACTAACAATGTGACTGGGAACTTCCTGCCACAGTTATGAAAGGAATAGCAATGTCAGGGACAACTTATAAAAAACCCAAGTGTGTTGTCATCACATGTGTGCAAAACTTTTGACAGGGGTAGTCAATGCAGTGTGAATCTAAGTGCTTCAGCATCCCGGAGTTCAGGCTCTTGCAAGGCCATCATGCTCCTTAAAGCCAATCTCCTGCCAGCAAACCTACCTTAGAAGCCCCAGCTTCCTCAAAGGTAACAACAAGGGACTGGATGCTGCTGTTGTACTGGCTGTGGCTATGTGTGCAGAGCCAATGACCCAGACTCTGCAGAAGAATCACAAACAGAAAAAAATTGGCCAAAATGATCAGTCACATCCTTAAGCTGAGTGATGACGATACAAAGAACAAATCTGAAAATACACAGCTGTGAGTGTGGTGCGCTGATGTGGCACTGCCCCACGCCAAGCATGTGGGGAGAAAGATAAACGGATCCTAGACCTATTTGAGATCTGGGATTCTCTGCTGTGATGTCTGTAGACAAGTAGTCTCAACCTTCATAATGATGAACCCCTTAATACCATTCCTCATGTTTTGGTGGCCCACAACTATAAAAATTATTTTCATTGCTACTTCATATTTGTAATTGTGCTACCGTTATGAATCATAATGTAAATAGCTTTGGAGATAGTGGTTTGTGGAAAGGGTTGCAACCCACAGGTTGAGAACCAGTGCTCTAGAGTGAGAGACATGTGAGACCCTTCTGGCTCCAGCAAGTTTGGTTCCCTGAGCCAGCATGTACTGGACCCATTTTCCAACTCCAGGCAGGGCATTTCTGGGAGGAGTGGACAGAGGAATTCTCTCTTCTCTGAGTCTATCTTCTCACCTGCAGATTTGGGAGGCCTTCAGTGATGAGACCTGCTTTAAATCCCAGTCAGAAGAAGATTCCTGAGTATGTCTCATACCAATGTTGAAATATGGAGTTTTGGCAGGGAGGGATTTTTATGGAGTTTCTCTGTGTAGTCCTGGCTGTACTGGAACTTTCTCTGTACAGAAGGCTGGCCTCAAACGCAGAGATCCGCCTGCCTCTGCCTCCCATGTGCTGATATCAAAGGCATGTGCTACTACCTGGCAATATATGATATTTAAAGGTAGTCTTTTTCTGGAGAAAAATATGGACCAGCAAAAGTGTACATCTGAAAATTATTCACTAACTGACTTATGACATTACATTGCTAAATTTTATAATAACTACATTGGGTATTCAAAGTATCCTGAGAATATGTCAAAAACACACGAAACAACTAATATCAGTAAACATAACCACTGTGTCTTCATGTGTCACACAAAACCAGAGGTGCTAGACTGAACTTCTCCACAAGCTGAAGCACAACAGATACAGACATTATCTGATCTCTCCCAGACAAAGCTGCCCAGAGGTACCTCCCCTCTGTGCACCACTGCAGCATGGCTTCTCTCCACTTTCATCCCTCCCCTGGTCTACATCCTTCAATGGCTGCCTGCACACTCCCTCATCCTGCCCTCCTCAATCCATTCTCTACACAGTCACAAGACACCTTCCACCAAAATAATCAAATTATGTCAATCCAATAACCAACCTTCCGAATGTCATACATGGATTTGCAAAAGTCACAGCATTGCCTTTCCATCTCATTCCCAAGCAGTGTCCACACTGACTCCAAGGCTCTGGCCATGGGCCTTGTCCTCTGCTCTTAGATCCATTGTACTACCTGTGGTACTGGGACACCAACATGGCTTGCATATACCTTGCTTCTTATTCTCATTCAGGACTCTCAAATGCTAGTTCCTGAAACTGACCTTTAGGAACAACCCCACATCCCCCATTCCCCGCCACAACCATTTTCTATCCCATCTGTGTTCTTTAAAGCACAAATAACATAAGGAATTTCTCCAGTTACTGATTTTCTCTGCTTGCTGACAGTTTCCCCATTTAATACAATACTCCAGGACCCCTGCTTGTCTTCTCAGTGCAAGAACACGGTGCCCACAAAAGAGGACAGAGTGCGAATATGTAAGTGAAGGAATTGATGCATATTTGACACACCACATAAGACACTGGTATTTAAATGAACAGCGAGAGACCATGTAAGGGAATTAAGCAGTCTGTGGCACAATATCCTAGAAGACAGAATTTCAAACCCCAAAAGCAATACGTTTTAAGCAGGGACAGCCATCAGAAAGAAGTGAAAGTGCCCCACCTCACTTCCTGGGTTTGATTCATCTGTCTATCATGGACTCTGATTTCTACCATTTTCATAAGCACGACCTGCAGATGTGATGCAGTAACTCCAGGCCCATTCCGGGAAATGTTCTGATGTGAACGGTTTCCGTTTGAGTACTGGTGATTTAAAGGCACCCTTGCAGGGTTCAGACATCTGGGGAGTCTATTAATGCCATTATCCCAAAGTGTGCTGCTCTCTGCTGCCACCTGATGCCACGGGATGCTTTCCTACAAGGCATCAGGACTCCACAGAGCTGAGGGATGGGAAGAGGAAAGGAAATGACTCACCTATTGTGTCCCACATGATCTTGTCACTCTGGCCCAGGTAACATGCTCACAAGACTCTACACCACAATTGTTTCTTCTCCACAAGCTGGCTCTGGATGGAGAGCCCGAAGCTTTCTCTCAGGTTCTACTAGAAGGCAGAGTGAGAGGGAAGAAAAAGCACATGGAAAAAGAGAGTAAAGCAGACGAGAAAGTGCATGCATTATACTATACTGAGTATAGGAATGGAGTAGGCTCTGTACATTCAGTGCAGTGGAAGCTGTGCAGTGACACCTTTTGTCTTCTTTGCTCATCTTACAGGCCCTTCCTACACACACCCATGCACACACACCAACACACACACACACACACACACACACACACACACACACACACACACCAGTGGCACTGATGACTCATACATATTGGAAACTTGTTGGACATATGGAAGCTTGTTGTCAAGCTTCTGCACGCTCTCTCTGCAGTCCTTTTGTTCTTCTCATAGAAGGGACCTGACACTGACATGAAGAGGAGTCAAAGAGTGACTGACAACCAGCACTGTCAGCTGGGGCAATGAAGACTCCCAGGCCTGGCTGCTGCCGAGGATCGTGTCTGGGTCTATGGTCCTAGTAGAGCTGGTGTTGAAGTCCAAGGCCCATGTTGCCACCAAAGGCCACATGGGAGCCTGAGGTATGGGCCTCAACCTGTGGCCTTATTGGTGTCTGAGGGCCTTGCCTCTGCAAGAACAGTTCTGATCAGAGTGCTGTCTGCTGCCACCCTGAGCCATGGTGTGATCCAGGTCATGGCTGAAGCCAAAGGCAATGTCTGGGTTCATAGTCCTGCCGTAGGTTGGATGTCTGTGGCTCATGTTACCACAGGAGGTCATAAGAGCCATACATGGTAGAAAAAGAGCTGGCCCCAGCCTTCACCGTGGGAATGTGAAAACTGGCCCTGATGGCATGGGCATAGGAGAGCTGGCTCCACCCCTAATCTGATGGAGGTGTAGCCACAGTGGCCTGGACTGGCAAGTCAGCTACACCAAGGCACATGTTCAGGGCCTTGGGGTGGCCCATGCTAACATCTACCCCATCTATAGAACCTGTTGGAACTGATAAAGGGCCTGGTCCTGTGGAATGATACCTGCAGGTTCTCCATTACTTGGGGTGGCTGCTGGATATCCATGAAGAGTTTTGGCTAGGGTCCAGTGAGGATGGTGTAGCAGAAACCAGAGGCCATGAAGAAAATCAATGACTCATTGCAATGAACTCATTGCAAGTAGAGCTGACTGGACAAAAGGGTATACTGTGTGACTCACAGAGGATTCCAATGCCACTAAGATGAATGAAGAAGTGTTGGAGAGGCAGGAAAGATGGAGGAGCAAAGAGGGTTTTTGTTTGTTTGTTTTTGTTTGTTTTGCTTTGGCCACCATGAGCATATGTACTCATGTGCACATTTTCCACACACAAACTCACAACATTCTCATGAGGGAAAAATAAAAATAAATCTAAAAGAGATTAATCACCACACACACACACACACACACACACACAATCACCAAAGTGTACAACCTAAACACCTCCATGTTCAGGAACATGGATTAAAAACAAACTTTTTATATATAACTAACCACTTTTCATGATTTTAAAAGTGGATTGTTCGGACTTCCATAAAGTGACACATATACACTCTTCCAAGTATGTGGCTGAAAATGAAGACAAGCCCCTTCGTAGGCAAATAAATGTTTGAAAGTCATGTGTCACATTATGGACTCCATATATCTAGAATACTGAAAGTCTCGCCAACATCATTAAGATAAGTGCTGCTTATGTGTATTCATGTAGTAGGATACAGATGATTCCAAATGACCAAGTGTAATAATTTTATAAAACATTTAAATGCAAATGAATTTACCAAGAAAAGAAAAAACTTTTCAGAGTGCCTGTTAAGGTAAAATCTGAAACTAATGCCTTTCAAACCACATATCCACTTAAATGTTACACTAAACAATTAAAAATGAACAAAAGCATTCTAGCCAATTACTAATAAAGAAACAAGAGATAAAATTCTGATATTTAAAAAAGACTAATAATAAAATGCAGTTGACATATTTTTGAAACAATCATTAATGCTATGGGCTAAGCTTTATCAGGAAAATGTTACTTTTTCTAAGTATATGCCAGCCACATAGCAAATTTTTCCTTTGAGGAATGTGATAGCTAGTCTTGGTTGACAACTTAACTACATCTGAAATCAACTAAAACCCAAGCATCACCATTGGAAGAGATTTTCATGACTGTATCATCTAAAGTGAGAAGACCTTCCATAAATCTGGGCTACACCGCTGTTGGAAGATCATTTGAAAGGAAATGAAGAAGAAAGCTTTTGTATTCTCTTGTCCGCATTCTTACCAGCAAGTTCACCCATCCTGTTTCTGAGGCATCCCTTTGCTAGTGTTGCAACCTACTTTTTTGAAACTCCAATACAGACCAAAGAACAGTAGTTGCTTCCAAAGGATCCTCTAGAACTCTAACACCAAATTGGGACTGCTGAGACATCTATTATTGTTAAATGAACAACTGTCCCGAGGCAGCCATTGTTGTACTCGATGGACCACATTCTATCACTTATGTCCTTTTAGAGCAGTGGTTGTCAATCTTTGAGGTAGGAGGTAAAACAGTCCTTTCAAAGAGCTAAGAACATTGGAAAACACAGGAAGAAAGAACAAAAAAAGGAATGAAGTATATGATTGAACAAACTACAAATTTTCTTTTCTTCTTAACATCTCTCAGTTCCCTGTGATGGTTCAAGCAAGAAATATAAGTGATGGGATGGGATATGATGTGGTCCTCTATAGACATACAGAGAAGGTATTGGAGACTCTTTTCTTACAAGGGTTAAAGTGAAGGGAATATATTCACAGTAATATCAGAAAGAGTTAGACATGCAGGCACTCACCAGATCAGAGTACCTCCAGTATAATACCTACTAGGGAGTCCTGTGACAGCTGATATAATTACTACAAAGTGCCTTGCTCCTTCCATCCATCTGAGATGACAAGGCATTGATTCCTCAAAGGTTTGCTGATGAACAAAAGACTGGATAGTGTTATCACCCTTAATGGATAAGGATGCAGGAAGACAAGTGACTTACCCATAATGTCACCATGTTCTAGTCACCCTTTCTGTCTGACAGATGTTACAGCACAATGTACTCTTCTCTACCAGCTCCAGCTTCTGGGATGCAGAGATTAAATCCTTTGCTTTTATACTGGAAGGTAGCATAAGGAGAAAGAATAAACATGAAATAGAGGAAACCAGGATGAGCTGAACACACACAGTGAGACCCATGAATGCACAGACATAATGGAAATGTGAGATTGTTCACTTCCTATTACCTTGAAAAGTATCCTATCCTTCTTTTCATGTGCTCATGTCCACTCTGTCCTGCCAGAGCCATCACATTGACAGCATGAAAGAGGCAAGGGGAGTGTGCCAAACAAGACACACGAAACACTAGGTTTTGTTTTCTGTCTCTTTAAGTCTTGAACATGATCCTTGGATGTGAGCATCATTACCTCCTTTATATACACGGGGTCAGTGAGTGCAATGTTTAGACTCAGCAAAGACTCCAGAGGCACCAGATGAACACTGATGCCATTGTAAATGGATTCCTCTGGCCAATACTGGGACAAATTGGTCATCAATAAAGAGAAGGGCAGTATGAGAGGATAATAGTAATGTGTATTCTGAGTCATACTGATACAAATCAATATAGGAGTATATAGGTATGGAAATAAGTAATTGATATATAAACACCAGAGCATCACTGAAGAAGCACTTGTTGAATTATGTCACTTAAATCCTCTCATAGCCGTAAGTAATTTAACTCACTTTCACAAATATATTATTAGTCTCTTCGAAATCCCACAGAAGTCATTATGGCCCTGTGGTAATGATGCCGGAAAAAAAAAAGACAAGGGGTAAAAAAGCACAGTAGCAAACTTGTTCCTCATATGCTCTTGAATCTATGAATGACATGAGCACATCATTTAGCCCTCAGTGAGGCACAAGTTTGAATTTGCCTGGAAACATCAGAGACACGTTTGCACACACATAACCATATACAGAATACACATTAACAGATATAAATTAAAAAAAACACTGCTCTCCCCTCAAAGGAGGAAGAGAGAATTTATTCTGGTGTCAAATATGAATGAGAAAACATGAGTGACAGAGAATTAGGATAGTACAATTTCCATGTTACAATGTGGGAACAGTTACATAAACTTTATATACTAACAGAAAAAGACCACTGTGAATCCAGTCACCCCTTACATACTTTTGTGGAAATATTATGTAATCTTTTAGGTAAAGCAGAGAAACCTCAGCTACAGGTATTATCTGCTATGTGTAGACATTCAGTTCTTTGACTGGTAGAATATTAAGACTTTGTTTTAAGGTTCTATGTTCTGAGTTTTTTTAAAGATATGATAGAATGTCAGGTCCAACTTCATGTGTCAGTGACAAGACGTGAGGTAGTTCCAACACAGAGGGACCAAGGAGTGTCTACTCATGGGGTAAGGAGAGCACACACTGTAATTAGCCTCTGGGCTCCAATATTCATTCCTCTCCACATCACTCAAGTTCTGTCCATCAATCCTTCAGTCTCTGCAGTCCCAACATCTGTCTAGGAATTCCTGTTCCACAGACACAACACCTCGCCCTCTCACTATCCTAGCTCCCTGATAGCCATTACAGTGTTTACAGAGAGGTCAAGAGGTGAAATCACATCTTGCAACAGATTCATCTCTAACCACACTCGGGCTGCTGAAAGATACTAAATATGTTCTTTCAGTGTGGCTCCTGTGTAGATGGGCCGTGGACTTGTCTCTGGGACATTCCTCGATATTGACTGACAATGACCTCTTTACTCTGATTCGGAAATGAGGGCAAAAAACTGCATCAATCAACAAATAAGGTCTCTATTCATGCAGTAATCCATGCTTTCAACCAAAAACATCTTTCATGAGTACCGATGACATTTGGTTCCTGGCAGTTCACAGAAAATTTAATAGCTAGTTCCCAGAAAAAAAAACAATAATTAGGAATTACATTTTAAAAATAATTCCAGGTATAGTGGAATAAAAAATGCAAAAACTTAAGGAATGATCCTGCCATACAGATGCATAGTACCTATAGATTGAAACATGTCAAAACATTGCTGAATTGGGGACAACCTACATAAATGAAGGATACATTATGTTCATGTGTCAAACATCTAATTATTGTTAAGATGTTTATTGATTCAAAACTGATCCACAGAATCAATGCAATAACAATAAAATTAAACAATATTTTAATTCTAGTCTTTGTAGATCAATGAATTCTGTGGGGGATCTTAGAAACTGGAAAAGTTAGAGAACGGAATTGCCTGATAGGAGATCTGCATATGAAACTACAGTGGTTGGGCCATCCTGCTATTGGAATCCAAATTGCCAAGTAAAGACCCAAATCAAAAGTCCAGGCTTGCAACCACACATTTACAGACTACTGCCTCTTTTGAGCCAACATCTTTCTATGTATCTCATGCAGCGAATCAACCTTCTGTGTAGTCTAGGTTGAGAAGGACTAGCAATAATCCCCCTGCAGCCTCTTAGGCACTGGGATTATTGACACATGTACCGTGCTTGGATTGCTGGAGAACTGATACTTGACAAATATGCAAAGGCAATTTTGTGCAGAAAGGATGTTCTTTAAGCAAACAGTACTGAGGCAAGTGTATAGCGACATCCACAACTATAAATTAGGACCTACATCATATCGTGAGCAAAAACAATCCAAAATTTGTTAGAGATGCAAAATATAAAAATAAGTCTATAAATATCAAAGAGAATACACAGGAGAAAATCCATGTCACTGTGCCTAGGTGAAGATCTCACAGAAAAGACATCAATAATCCCCAGGAATCAAAAAGAAAGACCACAACTAGGAATTGAAGCAATACTGGAGAGCCTACCTTTAATGTCTTTCCCCTACAATGAAATTGATGACAACCTTATATGCCATCCGAGAGCCTTCATTCAGTAGCTAATCGAAGCAGAATCAGAGGTCCACAGCCAAGCACTGAGCCAAACTCCTGGAAACCAATTGTAGAGAGGGAGGAGTAATGAGCAAAGGGGTCAAGACGATGGTGGGAAAATCCACAGAAACAGTTGACCTGAGACAACTGGGAGCAAGTGGGAGCTTGCTCACTGAATCCAGACATACAGCAAGGGAACCAGCATAGGACTGAACCAGGCCCCCTGAATGTGGGTGTCAGCTGGATGCCAGGGCAGTCTATGGGGCCTATGGCAGTGGAACCAGTATTTATTCCTTGTGTACCAATGGGTTTTGAGAGCTCATTCCCTATTGAGGGATACACTTTGAGCCTAGATACACTGGAGAGGCCTAGGCCCTGCTACAAATGATGTGACAGACTTAGATGAAACCCATGGGAGGACTCAATCTTCCCTGAGCAGTGGGTGGGGATGGGTTGGGATAGGGGGTTCTTGGAGGGAGTGGGAGGATGGGAGGGAGAGGAAACTGGCATTTGTATGTAATATAAGATTGTTTTTAATTTAAATAAAAATTAATTAAAAATCAAAACCATAACTGAAGAAGTGGGGAAGGAGGAATACTTAAAATTTAAAATCCCCTGCTCTTCCAAATGCATGGATGAGAACTGAAAAGATACAAGTCTATGAGGAGGAAAGTAACACAAACTTATACCATAATTAATTCCCATGAAACACACAGAAAAGCTCACAAAGTCAGTCAACAAACAGAAATTGAGGAATTCGAAAGATGTAGGTGAGCAGTTCAAGGGGACATTGATAGGTTTGGTTCTATTTATAAGACATTCCATAGAAATTTTAATGCCTTATGCAGAGAGCTTCAGGGCAGGGATTCTGAGGAGAGATCAGGGTCACCAGGGAAGGTGGGACCCACAAAAAAGGAAATTAAAATCACCAACTGGTGACAAGCACACAGTGTCCCACACCTGTAATCCCTTCATAGGGCAACTGAGTCAGGAGATTCATTGAAAGGTTCCCAGACAGGGTAGGACACAATGAAACGTTGTCTCAAAACCAAACTAACTCACAAACTACTAAGGAGGAACAATAGTCCTCTAACCAACTGCATATTACAGAGGCATCTGAGGTAATCACTGATTAGCCTTTAGACTTTCCTGCTTTATGTCCCTCAGATCCTGTGCGGGAGCAATCTGATCCCTTTCTCCCCCAGGACCCTCCTTCCAGGGCTCCAGCACAGCCAGGTCCAGACAGCACAGCACATGCAGGAGGCAGAATGGTCCCACTTTCTCTCCTTCTGCAGACACCTGGCTGCAAATCTAGAAGGGAGAGTGAACCTACTTGGGTATGGGATCCCTGCATCTGCCTCCCCACCCTCAGGAAGATTCAGGTACTCACCTCTGGGAACCCAGAAGCTCACTCAGTACAAATAGCAGGAATTCTCCTTTCCAGGACATCGTCTGGGTAGCCATTGAAAACGGTCACCATAATGACCCCAGGTTTCTATGACAACCACATATGAGCTCACAAGTCTGGGACACCTTATGGAATAGATACTAAAAAAGAAAAACATTAGAAGTGTTTCCTTGGAGATGCCGGGGATCGAACCCAGGACCTCAAATATGAGATATGAGTGCTCTACCACCTGAGCTTCATCCCCATACAGTAAAGTCCGTTGGTCAAAGCCTATATGAATAAGTCAAGAGTGAATCAGCATTTCTAGGGCTTTCAAGGAAATACATCAGGTCTTTTGACTATATTATATGACTTCCAGTTTAATATCTTCATGAACTTTTTATGACATTTATTGGATGAGAAAACAATCTATTTCCAATCAATGCAAGATAATAATAGTAATAAACGTCATCTTCTTCAAATCAAGCAGGCTAACTAAATATTATTTGGAATTACTCAGGCTCATCCATTTTAATTCACACTTAGGCTCTACTACTAGTTCAAAGGGAGATTATTCTGAGGGATTACTAATTATGTGCTGTTGACTAGCAATATGCTGTTATATCTAAGAGCTTGGGTCATTTCCAGAAACCATCCTGATCATAAATCTATTCTCTTTTAGAACACGGCTTCTTTCAGAACTTGAAAAACATTTTTTTTCTATTTAGGGCAGGCTTGTCATCTTGTTTCATAATTTTCCCACACTATTTATCTCTTCATTAATTGCAACAACTTAAATTCAACTAATAGTTCATAATATGTAATGTGCTGTCTTCACCTTCTGTGTGTTTAGGTATCTCCCCAAGCGCAATGTAATTTTCTGATAATGAATTTTTATTGCAATATGCTCCCCTGCCTTCTACACAGGAAATCTATACCTCTCAACATAAAACATCATGAAATAATTGTTTTATATAACATGAGAAGAGTAAAATGATAATAAAAATAACCCGAGAAGATGCCACAGCATACAAAACTGCCCAGCTCTCCTCCTTTTTTCTCACATCAAGAACACTTGACCCTTTTTATCAGACTAGAAAGCATACCCATTAAAGAATCTCACACCAACAAGAAGGCAGAGCTTTACTTCTTTGTTAAATCCAAGAACAATACATGATCCACGTTCTATTCACCAGACCATGGTGGTCTCCATGGAAATGTTATCAAGTCATAGATGAACATCTCCATCAAGTGACAGATGGGCAATTTCATCCACTAATTAGCTATGGAAATTTGACCTCATAACAGGAAGTTAAAGTTTGACCTAACTTGTAGGAATGGATCCTGAAAGGGAACAATTGAAACAAAATGGGGGACACTGGGATTCAAACCCGTGATCTCATGCGTGCAAAGCAGGAGCTCTACCACTGAGCTATATCCCCACACAATAGAAAGGGGAGATTAGATCATATATGAATGCAGGAACAATGATCCAGTACTTGTAGGGCCTGAAAGGAACTGCATCAGGTCTTTTGAGTATATTTTATGGCTACTTTTTGTTAATAAAAATGTTTTGGCATTTATTGGATGAGAAAACAATCTATTGTCATTCAAACAATAATAATAATAATAATAATAATAATAATAAATTTTACATTCTTCAAAACAAGGCAAGCTAACAATAAATAATACTTGCAAATATTCAGGCCCATCCACATGAATTCAAATTTAGGTTGTAGTATAAGTTTAACTTGATGGTATCATAATGGCCTCAGTGAAAATGGCCTGAACACAGAGGGCCTAAAGCAGGTCATGTAATACCAAGCCTTCAATGAAGTGGTGACCTTCAGAGGCCCCTCCTCGTGCCTGTCGAATGTAGATGTCTACCTGGATGGACACCCTATCAACACTGTTGAGGGCAATGGAGGTGAGTTGGCTGACCACTCCACCCCATGGCCAGCACACCATATACAGCTGCAGCAGCTGCGACTTCCATGGTCCACACCAACGTGCAAACCATCGGGGTCACATCCATCTGCCCCTGGCTCTCATTCTGTCAGATGGAGATCCCCGCAGTGGTCTAGCTGAAGACTATGCTGTCACACTGCACGGCTGTCTTTTGATGGACAGATGGGGCAGGAAATGTGCCATGGAGACAGCATCAGCATCACAACCTCCTGATACCAGCTGTCCTCTTTCTATGTTTGCACCCCGTGACGGACTGTATTGAGATCCTGGCCCAGTGTCTGCATGGAATGTTCCAAAGAAGCAAGCTCACTTCCCAGAGGATGAGGATGAGGACCAGGAGGATGAAGACAGCTAGGTCTCACTTCCCAGCCTCCAACCTGAGCCCTCAAGCCAGTGGGTGCCTTCCTTATCTTGCTCTACCCATGGCCTTCTGGCTCAGCTGGCCTTGTCCAACCACATGGCTGTTCAGGCATCTGTGTCCTGCCTGCCTAGTGGGAGAGCATGGGACTGCCTTCGGAAGAACACATCAGCCTTTAAAGTTTGTAAACATTTTTCACTTATAGAAAAGCAAAATGACAACTGGGCTGGGTGTCCTACATCTCTCTAGTGGGCCCCCTGAGATCCCAGGTCAAGAACTCCCATGAATCATTCGTTTGAAATCCTGCGGGGGTCAGTATGGATTGATTTTCAGTTTGATAATGAAATTAATGTCTCAGCCATAAATCTTCCTTTAGGTGCAGTGCTTTTCTTCAGAGCCTGGAGGGATTTGTCCCTTGCATGACTTGGGGTCACCTGGAAGCTTTGCTATGGGTTAGCAAGGCATGTGATGTTCAGTTGCCTCTGAGTCTGGCCCAAGTCCTCTGACACCTTACAGAGTAGACAGTGGCAACACCTTGGAAAGCCATCTGATAACATCACATTCCTCCTGTAGCAGGGAAGCAGCTCCTGAGACAATTTAAATCTTGTGTACACTCTTTAGAGTTTCTTTTAAACTTTCTGAACTCATTGTGTACATATTTGGGTGTACATGCTTTGTGAAGATTTAGAGGACACTGCCATTTTTTCAGTGTTTACAATGTGTCCAGCCCAATTCACAATCCAGGACAGGGCTCTGTGCTTCCTATCTTCCTATCTTCTAGCAGCGGCTAGAAATTATCTGAGGTCACCTCACTATTATCATCAGGGTTGTGGGACTGTCCTGCTTCTTCCACAAGAGTCTTTGGCTTGCATCTGAGCAGCAGCCATATAGATACCTGTGTGCAGACATGTATGTAAAATAAATAGCAAACGTAAGTGTCACAAGGGTTGTGGAGCTTTTCTGAACTCATTGGTCAGCAAACTCACCTCATTTAGGTGTCTGCTTTCAGTTTTGCCTTCACCTCTCATGGCAGGAGTAGGAAGGGAGGACTGCCCAGTCTTCTACTGGCTTCCGGGGTGAAGCCCGGCTTCTGTCTCATGCTGCTCAAAAAGGATGGTCGGCAGCTCTAGGTGTGACCACGCTGAGCTCTCTTCTGCTGTTAAAGTTAGGACCTACTGGGGCCTTGTTGAATAAAGTAAACCCCTATGGGGCCCTAAGTGGTCTGGCTTCTGTGCTGTTGGCTGTGGTAGCTTGTCCCCAGAGCTGTGCTGTTCATATGTGATTGTGAGCACAGAGGCCTCTGCTGTGATCCACAGCAGAGCAGTATCTGGAGCATGGTTAACACATCTAACAAGAAAGTGTTCACAAGTCTAGAAGCAAGCTGCTACAAGAATGTTGTATAACACATGGAGTTTTCATGTAAGTCTTAATGTTTCATATGGATATTTAAAAATTTTTAGCTGTTAATGAAGGCATCATTACTATTTTCAGATTCTTTCAATAAATAAACTTGTTTAAAACAAGAAAATAACAGGATCCTGAGAGATAAGAGGAAAACTCAACAAAATAAATTAGAATATGACAAAACACAACTATCAAATAGAAGTTGGAAATTCAAACCAATAGGAGGAAAAGAGTCCACAAAAAAACCCAAAACTCATTTACACAATGGGGTACTACTCAGCAGAAAAAAGCAATGGAATCTTGAAATTCGCAGGCAAATGGATGGAACTAGAAGAAACCATCCTGAGTGAGGTAACAAAGTGTACTCATTCATATATGATTTTTAGACATAGAGCAAAGGTTTACCAGCCTATAATCCTCTTCACCAAAGAAACTAGAAATCATGAAGGACTCTAAGTGATCAATGGACCCCAGGAATGGGAAGTGGCATAAACTCCTGAGGTAATTGGGAGCATCAGGGTAGGGTGGAGGGAGCTGCTACAATAAGAGCAGGAGAAGAGGAGCAGAGGAGAGA